GTGCCATTGAGTAAATAACTGTGTACAACGGATGAATATTCAAAATGACTGAAAAAAGCCAAAGACCAGACTGAAGGTGTCGTTATGCTGATCTGTGCTAGGAGGCGACCCAGCTATTTTCTATCTTGAGACAGAAGGCACACAGGAGCACTGAAGCTTGGCATTAGCAAAGGCATCCCAGTATCTCTCTGCTTTGTTTTTTAATAAATGTTTTGGGTTTATTTATTTATTATTATTATAGTAGTCCAAGCAGATTAGCTGCATTTACTCAGTATTAATTATTTTGTTTTCTAGTTGAAATATGAACTGCACACACATTCATAAATGGACTAAAAGGTTATCTAGTTTCACTCTGGCTTTTTGTAAGCATCTGCATTCTCTGCAGAAAAGCTGTTGTATAACTTATTACAGAGATATTCCCTAAGAAATTGTGGCATATATTCACCTACCTTCTGGACTTGTAGCAAAGTGACGAAAAGTATTTTTTCTCTTTCTCTAGTGGAAGAAGCCTATTATTGCTACAGAAAACTGAGTATATCATAGTACTAACTTTATATGGCACTGCCAACTAGGTCCTGCAGTCAAATTGCATATATGGTATAGAATGAATAAACTTGAAAAGGGAAAATTAGATATATTAAAAAAATATAATCAAACAGCTTAATTTATCCAGCTGGCAGAAAATGGAAAAAGTCAAGGATGAATAGAGTAACAGAAGCTTTAAATTTTTTGATAGTGTTGTGGCTTAACCCAGCAGGCAGCTAAAACACCACACAGCCGTTTCCTCACTTCCCCCCGCTCCCCACCCCCCCCCAGGGGGACTGGGGAGAGAATCAGGGAAAAAAAAAGTAAAATTTGCGGGTTGAGATAAAGACAGTTTAATAGGACAGAAAAGGAAGGGGTAATAATAATAATGATAAAAAAATATACACAATAAGTGATACACAATGCAATTGCTCACCACCCGCTGACCAATGCCCAGCCAGTTCCCGAGCAGCAGTTGCTGCTCCCTGGCCAACTCCCCCCAGTTTATATACTGAGCATGACATCACATGGTATGGAATATCCCATTGGCCAGTTGGGGTCAGCTGTCCTAGCTATGCTCCCTCCCAGCTTCTTGTGTACCTGGCAGAGCACAGGAAGCTGAAAAGTCCTTGATTTAGTGTGAGCACTACTTAGCAACAAGTAAAACATCAGTGTGTTATCAACACTATTCTTATACTAAATCCAAACCACAGCACTGTACCAGCTACTAGGAAGAAAATTAACTCTATCCTAGCCAAAACCAGGACAGATACTCAAAAGTTTTCTAAATTATGTTTACTTTTCATAATCTTGCTGTCATCATGCAAAAAAGTGTTTCATATTCTAAAGCATTTTATTTAACAATGTGTCACTAGGTAAGACTTTACTCTTTCCTAGTGAGATTAATTCAAGACTAAATTATACATGCTGAAATTTATATACTGAATATTGAAAAATGAGTTGGTAATTCAAGCTTTACTGTACACCAAATCTAACTTCTTAATTGGAAGTTTTCCTGCATAAAAACTCATGAAATGCTGATCTCAGAGCTATATCTACAGACTAAAATACATTTTAAAAACATATTAGTTTATCATGATGTTTTAAACAGTGGTAAATCCTACAGTACAGCTTCTTCAAATGTCTTAATCTAATGGTTCTCAGTCCTTCCTGCCAGGCTTTCCTGGGGCTATTGTAAGTGTAGAACTTCATCTGAACAGATTGGACTGAAGAAACAGGAGAAACAGGACAGGTAATAGAAAGTACATTGAATTTTAAATTCTGTCTTTTCCCTCTGTTCTTCCCTTCACTAAATAGACTACAGTAAAATATCTATTAGGACTTATTTCAGTTAGGATCTTGGTTGTCTGATACGTAACGTTGGCAAGGAATAAATTTACAAGGGTGAAGAAAACAGAGTAATAAACCCCCCCTTGGATTTTAAAACAGGAGGATCAACTCCTTGAAGGGTTCTTTCACTTTAATTATTCATTAAATGCTTCTTATTGGGCCATGTTAAATCAGTTCTTTTCTCTTTTCTCCTACAGAGAACATAATGAAACAGTAGAGGTTCTTTTGAAAGGAAAATTCAACACTTTTTTACGTAGCAACACTGTCTATTTATTGAGGTAATGAATCTTCTCTGTTTTTTCTCCCAGGTATATGTGACCAAAGGTCAAGAGATTCTTTTGGCATGTGGATGCAATTGGTCTATTGCATGGTATCTGCCAGATTCATCATATCAACAGCTACACCATCAACCCAGTGGCAGGAGCAGTAATTCTGTGGAGAAGTTATCACTTTAAATACATGCTGATTAACTTATGTTATGATATCTCAAACAACCCAGACTCAGCTGGAAGTGCAATAATTCATTTGAATTAATAAGAGGTTTTGTGTCAGTGTGATTGAGGCCACTTTAGTTGTAAGAGAAGGCTCACTAAACCAAAGGAGTAAAACTCCTGACTTATTATTGTGATTATATTGTTCTTATTATGTAGCCTTACTGAGTGTTATACTATATCATAGTTTTAAAGTCCCCCTCCTTCACCCAGAGCAATTCCCCATCCTGAACTCAAAGGAAATTCTCTGCATATATTAAATATACACCTATGTGACACTACTGTCTGAACAGGAATTTCAAAATGGGAGGAGAAACAGAATATGCCGTGGTAAGGAGATAGAAAGTTAGAAAAATTACATACAGCTGAGTGCTTATTTCCAGTCTGGAAAAACCTGACAGCTTGTGGAATGCGAGAGCTTAGAAGAAGGGGATGTTCTTGAAGCTAAGCTGGATACTTTCCATGCTTTCCTAGTCTTAGCGTTACAAAAACAAGCCACAACTGGAACAATACATTATGACCAAAGTTTTAATAATTAGAAGTTAAGATTTCTTAACTAGGAGAAAAGTCTAGAGTTTTACACTAATTTTCTATAAATAAAAAACTAATACATAATATTTTGGCTTACTTAATAAGTGGAGGAGATAAAGGTAAGTGATATTTTGCATGACTATAATAGCTTTAAAAATGGATCTCAGTAGGGCTGTTAATGGCACTTACACATCTAATTCTCCATATATTCTGCTGACAGTTTTCTTATGTCTTCCTGAAACTACTTTGCATCAAATACAGCTCTTGATAACTGTCTTACCAAAAGTGATACCCATTTTAGGATAGAAATGCAAATTGCAAGAGTCTTTTGAAAAACTTGGGTGACTACAGTAGTTACATTCAGCATTTCCTCTCCTATTCTTTTGGTTTTAATGGTGTATTGGAAAGGGGAAATGGCAATTGTTTCACCTGCTGACAATAAATAACTTGGGAAATATCATTATTTTTAAGGACGAAATAAAATAGTTCAGTTCTTTTAAAAAATGCTTCACTGTCACTGAGAAACAACAATCCTCTGTTGACAGAGCAGGTATTATACAGTAAACACTTCACACATTGTCTTTGCAAAATAACCAGTTGTGTTTCTGTGGGGTCAGGTTCTCTGATAACAAAACTGTTCGCTAACTCATCTAGAGTCAGGATCTTAATGGTATGTTTTCTTGTTCCTTAAATAAACAGACTGATCTGTCAACTTAATTTGTCTTTTAAAGACTGAAAAAGTAAGATTCAATATATTGTGTCAGTAGCCTGAGTCTGGATTAGTGAGCTAAATTCAAAAGGTCTTGTTTTACCAGAAGTCTTCAGACCTACTCATTTCTTGGTAAATGCTAGTGGATTTTGTAAGGTAAACATGGCTTTGTTCTTCTATCAGCATTCTTTTCCTGATACAGACAGGAAAACCACAGATTTATCAGTCAAATAAAGATTCTATATTTTGTGTCAGTAGCCTGAGTCTGGATTAGTGAGCTAAATTCAAAAGGTCTTGTTTTACCAGAAGTCTTCAGACCTACTCATTTCTTGGTAAATGCTAGTGGATTTTGTAAGGTAAACATGGCTTTGTTCTTCTATCAGCATTCTTTTCCTGATACAGACAGGAAAACCACAGATTTATCAGTCAAATAAAATGTTAAAATATGGTCCAGTAATTTGATATGAGAGTTGATTGCAAGCTGGCAAAAAGGAAGGATGTATACATCGTAAGGACTCTGTGGCAAAAATTCCTTTTAACTCTGGTATATTGAGAATCATATACTTATCCGTATTTGTGTGCTTATTTGGGGATTTCAGTTATTATTACAGAAGATCCTATAAAAAAAGAGGTGGAGTGGAAGAAATTTTTAATTACTTCTATTTTAATTTTTTCCACTATTGCAACCTTTTCTAAATAGATACATTAAAGCATATTAATTACAATACTTCTAAGTACAGGACACAGTATAAAATTAAAGCCTTTCAAAATACGTTCACAGACATTATAGAGAGATTTTAGTTATTCTGTTTTTTGTAGAGGAAAAATAAATAGTTCAAGTCTGGTAAGAACAGCTGAACTCTGCTTATTGAAGAAATCCTTTTCCATTTATTTTTTCCCCATACTTTTATAGAATCTCATTTTCAAATATCTACAGCATGTAACAGCTCACTAAGGAAAGCACATACTTGACAGTTTTGTCAATACCTAAAAAAAAAAAAGGCCACAAGTAACTCAGCATTTCAACTATTCACTTGAAAATTATAATTCAAGTTTTAATAAGAAAATTCACTCCACGTCACACTCCAGGCTCATAAGGTGTTTACCATTTACTAAAGTAGATGATTTTTTTATGTAAGATTTTGCATAGTTGGTTTAACTTCTTTGTCCAGCAAAGAGGAATATTTGTGAGGCCTTCCTGTGCAATAGTTCAGACTACACAGTCTTACTGAATGAGCATGTTTATTGAAAGTTAGTATCTATGGCATTTTATAATCTGAGAAAAATATTACTGCAATAGCAACTCCCTTTGTAGTCTTTGTTGAAAGGAAAAATATCTTCATATGGCATAAACTTCTTTATGAAGGCTTGTATGGAAAGCATCATGTTAGTACCTGTATTTATTAATTTCATCTTCACATGTGGCACCATGTTGGCACTGGTTTACCTCACAGTCATTAATATTCTCCAGGCATGTTTGTCCTGTCCATCCAAGAGCACAGACACAGTGAGATCTCTGGTTTTCTTCATCATAGAAACAGCTACCTCCATTTGCACATACCTGAAGATGTGAAGTACAAATACATAAAGAGGTTTTTCTCTACATGTTGTTTTTTTTCCCAAAGATTTTAACTGAATAAGCCATTGGTAATAAATATGGTTATTTAATGTTTTTATGTTGTAATATTGCAAAAGACAGATCTCGAAGAATCTAAAATACTGAATGTCATTAAATCAATATATCAATTCATTGTTTGTTTGGAAAGAGGCATTTATGATTCATTTTAAAAGTGCCATTTTCATAACTGACCTTAAAATGTGCTTGTTTTAGGAGGGATGATAGTGAACTAGTCTGATATTTTTTCATTGAAAGAGTAGAACATTTGTTCCTATGCTTAAAATCTACATATAATTTAATCAAATTTGTGGCTATCAGGAAAAAAGACTGAATATTTTTTTTTAATTTTAATCTTAATTCTGATTCAACCTGCAGATATTGAAAAATTAATAAACCTAGACTGGAACAGCATTTTTTCTTTTAGCTTTTATTTGCTAATATTACTTACTAAAACAGTGTATTTCCCATATTCTTCAAAATTACAGAAAGTTCTAGGTTGGAATGAATGCTCCTTTCTTAATTTTATTTTTAGGGTACCATTTCATTTCCATGAAAATTTTACCAGTGTAAAAAAGCATAATTACATTTTCATTTCAAAGCAATTAAGACCTCTCCTTCTAATCAATTGGTTTATAAAGAAAATGGTGTCTAGAGGATGAGCTAATGCACTAGTACTTCAGTTTGATTGAGTCTGAATCTCTTTATAAAGTCATTAAGATTTGTAATAATAACAGTTCTTGGCAGAAATCCTCTACTATTCCTTTGTCTTTGATTGAGTTTTAAATTGACCTTAAAATTAAGAGATTTTTGCTATGCTATCATTACTGAATTTCTCTCAGTACTGAATTTTCAGACTTGGGTCCTTTTTCAATAGGACAACTTCTTGAAGAAAAGCACGGCTCAACGTAAATGCAAAGAAAACTCCTGTGTGTATAGTTTTGGAAATATTCTCTGTTTTGATTTTTATGTGTCTTCTTACCTTTTTATTTAAACATTTCTGCAGGATTTTGTCCTGAGACTGACTATTTTGTCAAAGCTCAAATAGGTCAAATAAGCTTACACTCGAGAAAACCATCTAGAAAAAACTTAAACAATTAAGACAAAAGTTATATTTCAATATTGCCACAATATTATATTCATTATATTTTTATGTTGTTTTGACACTATACTGTGAGGAAAGGTGTTACCCTTTAAGATGTTAGTGCAATCTAAAGCAGCTTTAAATTAAAATTAAAGCTATGGAAGATATTTTTAGCATCAAATCTAGTTAGTAGTTTTCTCTATCAGATAGATTTTTATCTCTATATTATTTGATATTATCTATCAGTTTAAATATTGAAAACTCTGAGTTAGAGTGATTAAGGATTTTATAAGAAATTAAGGCTAAATACATTTATTAATCTATTACTAAAGTCAAACTAAATACCACAGCATTGTGGTTTTCTAAAGTTACTACAAAGATTTGTTTGTTAATTTTTTTAATAGATGAAATACTTTTAAATGAAAATAAAGAGACAAACAGACTTTTGGAAAGAGCAGCATCCTCCCATTGGTCAGCTTTTTCTTTTTCCCAAAGTAAATCTTGCTCATAGTTAGGATTAAACACAAATCTTATGATTTAACAGACCATAAACAAGGGCTCTTCTGGTCAGTCTCATTACATTTCTGTCTATGGCAAGAACTTTAAAACAAATCTACCTTATTACGTAGTCTTGATAAAAACAGAAGAATCACTTCCTTCTAATATCAACCAGGAAATGTTATTACAGCAAGGAAAGAAAATTAGTCCCTAGATGATTACATTTTATTCTTCTCCTTTCTTCACTCTGCAGTAATTGAGGGAAGTAACCCTGCTATATCTCTGTCTCTTCTCTACACATCATCTGTTGTCCACTGTTCGAGACAAAACACTGTGCTAGAAGGATCTCACTCAGTGCAATCATTATTTCCTAACACTTCTTCCACCTTACTTTTCCTGGAATTCTCTGCAGTTTGAAGGAAACTGTACTTTTTATACACACACACACACACACACACACTCTCTCTCCCCCCCCTCCCCTCCCCCACATATGTACATATACATATATAAATATTACTGATCTTCCTCAGATTCCAATAAGCAACTCAAATAATTCACATTGAACTGAGCATGGACAAGAGATTCCCTCTCTCCCCAGGGACAGGAGATGGACTAGATAACCTGTTGAAGTCCTTTCCAGCCTCATGTCTATGACCCAAAGATTTACGTGTTCTGTGAAAATGCCTAACTGCTAGCTCAGGAGAACAGCAGCAGGGAATTAGGTGCCATGGCACAGAAACACATGCCTGTTGTGCAGAAAAAGGCAAAATGCACAAATTGTTCTGTTATGGTTACTGCAGGTACCAAAGTCCAATACTTAGATTTTCCCCCACATTTACTACCTGACCTTGAATGACTGTAACATCATTAGTATAAACCCATGATCTAATCATAATTCTTTAAATAGCCTAGGTAGAGTATTTACAAATATAATTAAATAGTAGGGAAAGTGAAATACGAGAACTTTCTTACAAATAACACTTTTTCCAGAAACTTTAAATGGATTGATTATCATTAATTTCCCTTGGATAAATAAAAAAGGCTTTATTTCTGAATATATGAATGAATAAAATAATATAAGATATAAAATAATGTCTGCCTTTTCCTACTCTACGTCTTCACTATGCTGTGCAGGTTCTCAAAGATAAACACCTAGTGATTCAAAGACAGCCTCCTCCAAATTTTTTTTGTGAAGTTCCCCAGTGCAATGTTCTATTAAAACATCTAAGTAATTTCTTTCTTGTTTGAATGTTGAAGTTTACCTTAAACCAAGAAGGCATACCTTGAAAACACAACCAAGATTTTACCTCTCCTTATGTATAAATTCATTAAACAGGTTGACAAAAACACACACACACAAATTGTTTTCATAAAGGCATTTTAAAATCTGTTTAAATCAAACTATCGGTGCAGTATTTGCAATATGTCAGAACTGCAGAGTCATCCTCTAATCTGAAAGTCAAGCATCGCATCACGTTACATGCATCATAAGCAACACAGATTTGCTGAAAAGAGTGTTATTTGCAGGTACAACTTTGAGGTTAACCAAAAAAGCCTTATTGAAAATTTTCTAGCTTTCAAGATCTTTTAGGTGGTTTTTTTCCTCCTAATACATCAAGCACAAAGAAAACAACATGAGCATCTTTTACTTTATTTATATCACTCTTCCGTGATTTATGTGATTGCCTTATTTTTACAGATGAAGAAACTGTATAAACTTGCAAAGCAGGTAAGGACCAGGACAAGCATGAAAGTGGCAGCTCCTCTAAACACTAAGTATGCATTGAGCACATAAATATTTCCATTCAGAAGGTTGGAACTGTGATCCTGACTGCAAATGTAATAGGGTAACTTGGGATCATTTGGCTCATAAAAAGAGGAAACCACTTCCAAGTAGCTTAGGCAAGTGGAGCTCAGTAATTCAGTTAGACACAACTTTAGTACCGTAAAGATGTAGATAGACACTGAGAGGACTTTTCAGAGATGGTTCAGTTCCTAAATCATATGGGAATTATTTTTGACAAACCAAGTTGATACCCACTGTGTGTCTGTTTATGTTTTAAAACTGAAAATAGAATAAAAAACCCCCTGAAAACTACTTTCTAAATGCTATGATTCTTTTTCAAAAACAATAACCATTGGCCAACATCGTGAAGTTCCCATAGCTACTGCTACAATTTCAAATCTTTTCTTAGGAGATGCTAATGGAACCTATGATTCTGTAAGCTTGCAGTCAGAATTTTGAAAAACTAGTGTTTTGAAGGAAGCAATAAAATGGCTTGATAGGACTTAGCCATGGCCACTAAAAAAAATCACACATCTTAGGATGCCTCCACATTTGTGATTGTTTGGGTCACAGGTGGGCTTTTGAAGTGAATAACCTCTCCAGGGATGTAGTGGATTTCCCATCACTGGAGGTTTTCTGGATGTGATTGGACAGAGTGCTAGATAATCTCACGTAGGCTCCCTTTCCCACAAAAGGTTGGACTAGATGTTCTTTCAAGGTCCCTTCCAGCCTGGGCTGTTCTGTGATTCTATAGTTCTATGATCTACACCTAGTGTGTTGCACTACGGCTATTTGTTATTACTATTTCTCTTATCAATTCTCTATGAACTCCAGTTAATAAAAATATTGGGGTTTGTAACATACATCCTATATTGAAATGGGACAAGGATATTTTCTTTATTTCTTTCGACGTGTTCCTGAGTAGATGAGAGAAGACAAGATATTATAATACGAAGTGGCTAAATTTGGTCTTGTTGGAAGTCATTAACTTAAAGATGCCAAAATTTTAACTTATTTGGAGGTCCTTCATAATTCTAGGTACAGGGCAGGCAGGCTTTATCCTGGTTACAAAGTTAAGATTAGATTTTGAAATTTAAAAGGAAGATATCTCCTGTTCTAATACATTCACTTTCTTTTTAATATTATTTTAAAATAAATTATAATTAAAATAATATTAAAACCAACCTTAGTGTTTTAAGTGTTGTGCTGTGAAAGAAAAAAAAAACAAACAAACCCACCCAACACATTAGTATCGTTATACATTTATATAGAGATAAAAGATCCCCAATGACTTAAATTTACTTTTTGTTTATTAAGAAAATATTTAAAATAGTACCATTCTTTTCAGTTTATTGTGTTGGATACACAGAGGTAAAGCAGTTCAGGACAACTAAGGTACCATTGGAAATGGAAAAGAAATGAAAGAATGCAAAAATATAAACTTACTTTCCATCCACAAAGAATAAATAAAGAATTAAGTGCTGAATTATGTAATTTACTAAATAATACAAACCTTTAATTTCAAATTATTACTTACACTACTTCAAAAAGTATTCAAATATTCATTTGTTTGAATAAGGCCTTTATTTTTTCCAATAAGCAAATGATACTACTTTAATGATCTGTAGGCTAAGAAAAGAAGTAAAACCCAAACATATCACTATTTTATTTTAGTTTCTATTCCCTTTCCCATTTGAAAATCTACTTATTATTCACATTATGCCCAAATTAGGTGTCTCATACAGTGAGTGTATATAGATACATATATATATTATTACATTTTTTCCCACATGACATTTATGATGGTCTACGAAATGTTTGTATGAATAAATTATTTATGTCTGAGGGCTTTTAAGCAAATATTACAGTAAAATGTTTTAGTAGCTCCCATCAGCATCCTTGGCACACCATCACTTCCCATCCTAACTAACCATAATGATTATTGCATCATTATGGTGTTATGCCATGTACAATAGATTTGCACTCAGTATGACACTTTAAATCATAAAAATGTTAAAATTTACCATATGCTGAACAATTTAAATATAAACCTTTTGAGCAGTGAGTATTTCAGTGTTACATTTCATATTCTTTGGTGATTGTGTACCCATGGACTTCAAGGTGACATAAATGTTGATTGCTTCTTTGTAAACACATTGCCTGCTCTGCATAGTGTATTTTTATGGTGAATATATTTCAATAAAAGAATTGATTAAACCTTTGAAACACTGGTTATCATGTTTGAGCAGCTGTTTGAAAGGGCTATATAGCATTGTGTACATAGCTTTTAAAATAACTATCATAATAAAAAACTGCAACAGTATTTCACTTTATCCCATATTGAAATCTCGGTAACTCAAGGGCCTCGGTCTGTAGTCCACCCTGATGTGAATGAATACTACCCAGACCAGTAATTTAATTGAACAGATCACTAAAGAAAAGTGAGAAGGATACAGCAAGTACATTTCTTAAAGAGATCTGGGTACACAATGGATGTTATTTTGGCCTAAGCATTGTCAGCATCTAACTTAAAGATTTCTAGAACACTTTGAATGTACAAAAATCAAATTCATTACTATATTCTGTGAGCATTTAAGAGTAACTTGCAAGGATAATTTTGATTTTTTCTAACTGCATTTTCAGTTCTCATTGCAGTATAGTTAGTTTTGCTTTAGTTTTTTTGTTGTTTGGTTGATTATGGTGTTTATTTTTGTTTTTAATGGAAATGAAGCTTTTGTCATTCTTTCTGTGCATTGATGTACCATCAGCCTTCTCTCTAGTAACTTTTAAACACATCAAACATTTCAAGGAAATTTTGTCTTACGTTTCTACAAGTTTCACAACATAGCAACAGCAAGTAGGGGATAGAAGGAAACATCAGTAAGTAAATCTATAAAGAGCAAGAAAGGCAGAGCTCAGACATTACACAGTTTGTTGGACAATGACCAGACTAGTCACATCATGCACTTTTGGATGTGCGTGTTACACAGGAAAGAGGAAGGTTAGCATGAGAATATATCAAGAACGAGTACTGTGTTTAGGGAAACCCATGGGAAATGAGGCTTCATCAGCTCACTGCTCTTAGAATAACTTGTTTGTTTTCCCAAAAAACACTGGGTGGAATATATCACTTTATCCTACCTCTGTGTTTCCAACACATGGTGATAAACACGTGTAATTAAATCCATGAGATTTATCCATACACAGTGCTCCTGGGGCACAGCTTGTATTGTAGAATAGGCAGGCGTCAATATCCAGTTCACATCTTTCACCTTCAAAACCTGCACCACAAAAAGAATGTTTAATCGCTGTTCATTCAGAATATTGACATTATGTCTGTTCAGGGTCTTAGTTAACACCACTCTACGGCAGTAATTTGGCAGTTTTATTTCCTAAACAAAGTGAAAAACTGGGTTTCTTCATAAAAATGTTCATTGCATACATTGAGATATATTGCTATTTTTATGTTGCTATTTCTTAAACTTAAATATTTGGATGACATTTTCTTTGTTCTGTTTAGAAAATACAATAAATTTCCAATGACTCACCTATAGGGCAAGTGCACTTAAAATGATCTTCATAGTCAACACATGTTCCTCCATTTTCACATGAATTGGAACCACAGTTATCAATTTGCACCTCGCAGAATTCTCCTGGGGTTGAAAAAAAAATCCTAAAAAGGTTAAGAATTAATATCATGTTCTTGGAAAAAACCCATGAACCATATTAGTAATATTGGTAAAATAACTATTGCTTTAAATAATCTTTCTGGAATATTGGCTAGAATTTAAAGACCTTGTGTAACTTTCCAGAATTCTTTCTCTCCATTTATATAAAAAAAATCTCAGGGTCTTAAAAAAAAAGGTCAAAACCAACTCTTTCAGCATTAAAAAACAATTTTAGATGTGATCCAAATGGGGATACGGAGCTGAAGAGGGAGGATTTTCACTGGAAAAAATCATTTGAAATGGAGGTAATACCTTTGCATTTTCTTATACTTTTTACTGCTGCATGAGTCATCCCTGATCTCTACTCAAGACTTTTGATTCTATTATGTATATATTTCATTATGCCTTTTCTGGGCTCTATTTTGGCTAGGAAAAAGCTAGTCCACATTTGTCTGAGGTAACCTTTATTGTCATTCCACTGAACAATTACTTGCTCATTTAGCTGAAGACTTTTTTTTTTTGCTCAGCAGGAAGAAATAACTGAACTTGTAACTGGCCAATTCTAAAAAAATGTACTGGAGAGAAATACATGAATGAGAAATAACTGCTTGTAACTGGCCAATTCTAAAAAAATGTACTGGAGAGAAATACATCACTGGCAATGTGAGATGAGTCAATAAGGAAGACCATCAACTTTACCATTAGTCTTGGAAAACCGGTAGATTTGACAAAAAAGAAAACACATTAAGGTTTTATTGTTATTTTTGGTACTGAAAACAATATAATGAATTCTGTGTAAACGTTCTTGAGATTTTCTTTCTTGTTATTGCTGTGCTATTGTTCTTTTTTCCATGTTTTTTTTTTTATTTGTAATTTACTATTTCTACAGCAGGAGTTCCTTTTTTTTTTTTTAATTTTAGAAAAGATAAAGAATAGAGAAATGAAAAGTGAAACAATCTTTACTATTGAGAAAACTAGAAGAAGGTGGGGGAGTTTTGAAAAGTTTCAAAGAGGAAAACTTCAGAAAAGAAAGTAAGAGTAGATTACTGATGTTTTTACCACCAACTTGTTTGTAATCAGTGTTACTTCACTCAGTGGCTTAAGCAGAAAAAACAGAAAAGCTGTACAGGAGAAAAATGTTTGGGAGAGGTGTACAAGAAATTGGGATAATTTCTTTAATCAGACAATATATTCTGTAAAATGTTGTGTCAAAAGTAAGTATTCTATTTGAAATTCTTCATATGGCAAAAAAAAAGGAAATAATTTTACTTCAAATAAAGAAATTGTTTTTAAATTTTTAATCAGCTCTCCTTTTGATCTAAAGCCAGAGACATCAGGAGAACATGAACTAATAGTATAAAATTTGGTAAGAAATGATTGTTTCTCTGTTTCAGCAAAGCATTTCTACCAATTTCATTCAATTTAGTCCATTCCTAATATAAAACACTTAAGCTTCGAGAAACTCACTGCATCTTTTAATATGCTGGAATGGAGTGTCAAACTGAGACCTAAAGATTGCTTTTAATGGACTGCTATAAATGTAAACAGGAATATACTTATTAAGGCCTTAATGCTGTGATTTGTTGGCCAGAAATCGTTATCTTGGGCCAACAGGTGCTGAACCACATGTACAATCTCCTGTATTTACAGAGAGGTTGACCAGCACGCTATACAGACTTTTAATGTTTATTTTGTCCCTTTGCTCCTTAGTCAAAAATAGCCCAGTATTAACATATATCAATTTTTTCAACAGCCAAGAGTATATCTTACTGTAAGTTATAAAGCTTACTGAGTTAGAAATATTTTTTAAAGTATATTATTACTGTAAAATTTTAAAAATAGAGAAAACAGGAAACTATATACTTCTTGCTGTTTATTATTATAATATAATATGTAATATTACAGGGGCAACTATGGACTACAAGACTTTCATTTGCTCACTTTGTATTAACACTAATGGTAACTATACGTATCTGTATCTCTGGGGAGATACCTTTGTGATTAATACTTTTAGAAAGCCATGCTACAAGCCAGGACAAGAGTTATAAAATGTAACTTTGTGTAATATTGGTTGTCAAAAAGACATGCTAAAAACTAAATGAATATTTTAATTGCAGAATCAACTGAATGTATTGAGGAAGTTGCTCTCTCCTAGGAAATGTGGGTTTGTTTTTTTTTTTTCCTTAATGAGGTCTGGAAAAAATTGGGAAAAAAAATCTGGGAATAAACAACAAGTCAATATGTATTTTGGATCCATTTTTTCATATTTATTCATGAGGGTGGAATTGTCTTGTCCAAGAAATCCTTATGAATAAATATTAGTATAATCAAACTGGCTTAAAGAATTATTTTTGCTATAAATCTGAAATCCTTATAATGGCTGTATCCTTTAAGCGAACTTTACAACTTTTCCTTGCCACAATGAGGTCAAGAAAGCCTAGTAACTCCAAACTGTTATAAAATTTATTAGAATCTGAATACTGCTGAGAAATGCATAATTTATGGTATTAAGATCTGATTAAGTGTTAAATGGATGTCAGGAGAGATCTCCACAGTAATCCACTTAGCTTTTAATGCCTAATTATCACTTCATAGTGAGTGAGGGCTGAATAATTGAGAAATGCAATACTTAGAGAACTCAAACAAGATTTTTGTGTGCAATTAAGCATGTTATTCTTCTATCAGGAATAAGTTCAGCAGGTACAAGGAACAAAGGAAAAAATAAAGAAATTATAAAAAATAAGAGGGAGGGAAAATAATTTGATTAAAGAGTTTACTGTTGTACTGTTTATTTTTAAAAAAGACCTTACACATTTTTTAGCTAAGCATGTGTTCTTACAAGTTAAATTGTTTAATTACAAATTCTATGCCCAAGATATCAGTGAAATAAAGTGTGACCACAAACGGGCACAAACTGAGGTTACGCATGAACATCAGGAAACATTTTTTTACTGCAAGTGACCAAGCACTAGAACAGGTTGCCCAGAGAGGTGGTGGAGTCTCCATCCTTGGAGATATTAAAAAGACATCTGGACATAGTCCTGTGCAACCTGCCCTAGGTGACCCTGCTTGAGCAAGGGAGTTGGACAAGAGGACCTCCAGAGGTCCCTTTCCAACCTCAACCGTTCTGTGATTCTGTGATTCATAAAATCGTAGTATATCTCAAGTTGAAAGGGACCCATAAGGATCATCGAGTCCAACTCCCTGCTCCTTGCAGGACTGCCTAAAACTAAAACATACGACTAAGCATCATCCAGATGCTCCTTGAACTTTGACAGACTTGGTGACGTGACCACTTCCCTGGAGAGTCTGTTCCAGTGACCAACCACCCTCTCAGTGAAGAACCTTTTCCTAATGTCCAGTCTGAACTTCCCCTGACACAGCTTCATTTCATTTACTCATGTCATGATGTCGTGGTTTAACTTCAGCTGGCAACTGAGCACCAACCATAGAATCATAGAATTGTTTAGGTTGAAAAAGACCTTTAAGGTCCAACCGTTAACCTAACATTGCCAAGTCTACCACTAAACCACTAAACTAAGCACCACATCTACACGTCTTTTAAATACCTCCAGGGACGGTGACTCAACCACTTCCC